CCCGACAAGAATCTCAGGACTCTGTCCCATGCCCAGTCCTGCCCCATCCCCACTCCCTCACCACAGGGCCCCCCACTCCATGCCCCTTCCCCACAAACAGATATACCAGCTGGATGCTGCTCTCCAAGATGCCGGGCTGCTTATTGGCAATCGGATCGGTATAGACTGGTATGGCTCATTAATAACTGGCCATCAGTATTGGCCCACAACTTCTTTATCATGCACCCCTAATATTAACTACAACTTCAGTATGTTCTCTAGGGTCCAATCCAACTTCTACTGAAGTTAGGGGAAAGAACAGCAGAAACAGCAGGGGGAAGCTATATCAGGTTTTAAGAGCAAAGGAAGTGGAGTCCAATGTAAGGGTCTGGGAAGTGAATTCCAGTGTAGTCCCACACCAATATCATGCCTACAAGCCAGAAAAGCAAGTATTTCAACTGCTTGAATGATGTATTGGCACCACTCAATCCGTACAGGGGCAACATGGTCTGTCATTTGTGGTAGTATACAATCAAGCCCATAGATGTCTTTTACTATATACAGGAGATGGGAAAGCCTGCTCTGCTCATGAAGCTCCAACAGGAAGTTTAAGTGGTGTGAAAAACCTTGCACTGGCTTTCACGCCTAAAAGTCAGTTGTAACTATTCTGTTTTTAAAGCGTACTCACAGAAGTCAGTTCCATACTTCAGTCCTACTTTGGGGACCCATCCCTTACTGCGAAAGTAGTGATAGGTCATGTATGTTGTTCTAAAACTGGGCTGCACATCACTAAAAATTTTCCATAGCTCCAAGATAGTTAAAGGCTCCTGAAATCACAACCAGAAATATTATTAACCAATGGCTAATATTATTATTACACTAACATAACAGCCTGCTGCTCTTACAAACTAAGAAAGACCTAGAAAACTACACATAAAATAGCATGTTTACTGAATGATTCTAGTCAAATAACAAACATTATAGTCTGACTTTGCCTGAGGCAAACGCTACAGAAGTCCACACAGTTTGAGGAAGCAAGTGTGGTTTAAAAAAAAACAAACAACAAAAACTTAAAAACTAACTGTTGAGGTAGGAGTGTTTTGCTAAGTTTTATGGCTGGTAGCTTAGGACTCAAGAATAAGAACAGATACATCAAAGGAAATAAAAACATATTTTACATGAAAACAAAACACTTAAAACTCAAACATTTTTTGTGGGGACGAAAGGGAAGGACATTCCTTTAAATACCTTGGGCACATCCACACATGCAAGCAAATTTGAGCCAGGGCTTTTTGCCTGAGTGCATGTGCCCAGACATGCACTTTGTTGTGGAGCAAATTGTGCCACTTGGGGGAAAATAACTGCCTAGCTCCTCCCGGATCTGCAACCAGGGGGAGGTAGAGCCTGGGGTCAGCACCCGTGCTGGCCCCAGCAGTATAAAAACCTGCCCGGGCCAATAGCTCAGGGCTACTTGCCCTCAGGAGCTTCTGAGGCCCAGCCACTTAGTAGCTGGGGACACTAGGCCCTTGTGTCAGCTAGACTGCTGAAGCAGCATCCCAGATTCACTTTTTAAAATACCCCAAAATCCACATTCTTCCACAATTAGAACAGAAAAGAGAGAGAGAGAGAGAGATTGATCAGATGGGCAATGTTTTATTGCTATATTTACAATGCTAAAGAAATTTGGAAGCCTACCAGTGTCTTTAGAATCATAATAAAATAAATCCTACATATCTATATGTTTTAATGCTTGATTTGGTTTCTTTATCACATGGTGGGTGTGTGATGGGGGGATGTGGGGTTTGAAGGAGGGAGCGGGAAGGGGAGTAGGGAGAATGTGGGTGGGTGTGTGACTGTGGAGGGGTATGTGGAGGACTGTGGAGGGGGATGTGGAGGACTGTGGAGGACTGGAGGGGTATGTGGGTAGGTGTGGGGGGACTGTGGGTGCAGAGGCTGCTTAGGAGGGGTGGGTCTCTAGAGGCTGGAGAAAAGCAGGAGAACAAGTAGGAGGCTGGAGAGAATAGGAGAACGAGCAGGAGGCTCATTCCCCCCTTCCCCCCCACCCCCAGTTCATTACCCAGTTCCCCATTCATTTCCCCATCCCCCATTCATTCCCTTGCTCCCCCCGCCCTCCGTTCATTCCACCAGCTGCCCGCTTGCTCTCCCAGCCCCCACCCCACACTCACCAGTAGTAACAGAGAACAAGGAGAAAGCTGGAGGGAGCAGGGGAAGTCTTCAGCTTATCTCCAGGGGCTTGCCTCCAGCCTCCTGCTCCTTCTCCTGCTTGTCTCCAGCCTCAGGAGGTCCCTCATCTGGACGTCCCCCTTGTCGCAGGGCACTAAGGCATACCTGCTCCTTTAAGGGCAGAAGCAGCCTAGCCACAGAGCCCTGTGAGCGAGATAGAACTCCACAGCTACAGGTTGCCTGGGCAGCAGGCTAATGAGGGAATTAGCTGGCACCTGCACAGTCAGCTGACTGAATGGAGGCAGGGCCCTGGGCACATATAAGCTCCAGGGCTGGGGCTGGTAGGGGTTGGTTCTCTGGCAGCCAGCAGGGGAAAGAGATCCTGCATGAAAGAGCTACCCAGAGATGTTTGGTTTCTGATCTGCTGCCTGCAAGACTACTAGGGCTCCAGGAGCTCACAAGGTACCCAGGGCTAGGAGGTATGCAATACTCGGGGAGAAGTTTGTCTTCTTAAAGGGGCAGAGTGTGGCCTCCAGTTATTATTATCTTATAGCCCAGGGGCTTATGTTTGCATTGTCATCAGCACCAGTGGTTTTGGAATGAGGCTATAAAGGGAGGTGGAGGCCTCATTAGTGCCCAGAGGAGCACACACAATTGTGTAGAGCTCAGTGCCAGAGGGGTGCAGCTACAGGGGCCAGAGAGCCCAGCAACAAGAGGAAATTTCTTAGAGCTAGAACCTCAAAGCCAGGCCCAACACAGTGGGTCTAGGCTAGGTCTAGTTGCATAAAAGGGGCAGAGGCCAAGTTGGCTGAGACCCCAACAGAGGGAATAGTCGTATAACACCTGCAAGGCATGGGGTGTGGTAAGAAGGAGGTTTTGGAGCCATGCATCTATCCCATAAGGCTTAAGGTGTCCCATGAGATGCCAACTTGGAGTAGGACCCAGCAAGGGGTCCAAGAACCTGCAGGGTCTAGTGGGGTTCAACAGGGCCATGGCCCCACAGAAACTGGTGGGCAGTCTCCCTACTTATTATTTTTATCAACAAGACTTGGTACAGTCATGGAGCCCTAAGGGCATCACAGCCATCCCTGGAGCACTGTGACACACCTCTTTTAAAACCCATTTTTCTCTACTTTTTTTCCCACCAACACTTTTTCTTTTCTAGAATGAATCTACTCATCTGCCTGGGTGTTCCTAATAACAAGAATGAGAATTTCTCGACAATATTCTTATATCCACACAACTACCAGATGCATAATATTTGAGGGGGAAAAAACTTCCCTCATCATGCCCAACTGCTGCCTTGGGCTTAGTAGCACATGATGTTACCACAGTAGTTGGCAGTTTAAGTCAGTGAACTATACCCAGATCAACAACACAATGTTCAGACACATGTCATGTGACAAAACATAGCATCTTACCTCACCATAATAAATACTTAAACATCCTAGGGCATACACCAAAAAAAAAGCCTGAAAAAGAACAGCAAATTACATTACTGTATTTATATTGCATGGAGATTTCTCGGTATAAAATTATCTTGCATGTAGCATAAGAACAATATGAAAGGCACTAGCAGAGCAACAAGTTGCCAGATAATCACCTTTGAAACTTCACTGTAGTCTTAAATCTAACCATTAAAACTGCATTGCCATCATCATATTTCTGACAATGTACTTTGGCTAGAATCCTTTGTATCCAATTCTTTAGAGCTCTACTTGGCTAATGGATCATAAACTGGATCCCCTTCCAAACTAATTTACTCTGAGGACTGGAGCAGACAAAGACATCGTGTTCTAATTAAAACAAGATATGTATTTCTGGAGAAACAGGCTGAAATGCTATTTGCCCAGATCTGCAGTCATTTACTCATGTGATTAGTCCCTCTGAATTCACTGGGACTTTTTACGTCTAAAGTCTATTGGATTAGGCTCTTTAACTCCTTTCACCATATCCATGCAATCTATGGATTATTTAAAAATAAGTAAACTTAACAAAACATTATAAGATTGTAAATACAAAAGATTGCTCTTCATTTAGGGAAAAGGAACTAGAATACATTATAGTATACATTAATGTTTTGAAGTTAAAACGTTGCAAAGTATTTAAAACATACACATACCTCTTCCAGGCTAAGTTGCAAATATTCAAAAATCCTAAATGGATTTCTTCTGCATACTAATTTTTCCTTTTTGATTGACTAAAAGAAGAGCAGTATCAAAATAAATTATAAAGAAGCAAACAAATGTTAAAGGTAATCCATATATTTTTCGTTCAAACAAAACTTTTTAAACATCTTGGATATTATTAACAATTAAAGTAGGCAAAAAAACTGTATGGTGAAAATAATATGTGTTTAGCTAAATAAATTCTCCAAGAGAAAGGGACATATTTGGCTTACATTTGATTGCTCATTTGCAGCTTCATCATGACACAAGCTACTTTCTTCTTCTTGTACCAGAACATATTCTTGAACATATTCTGTAGAACTGGCCAACTTGGAAGATACTTGTTGTTCAGTGTTGTCTTCTGCCTTGCAACCAGAGTATACAGTAAAGTAATTGTGTTTTTGGCAATGTTCTATAAGCATGGCTGTAGAATCCATTGTATCCAGTTCCTTAGAGCCATACTCGGCCAATGGATCGTGAAGTGGATCCCCTTCCAAATAGGGTTTCTTGCAGTCTAGACTCTCCTTATGACATTCAACATTTGGTGCTACCACATCTCCATTAATTATGGAAGAATCTTTTGAAAGTTCCACTTTGTCGTCTTTATTTTCTATTTCTGGAGCCATTTTTTTGCTGCATTGGTCAGCCTCTCCTTCCTCTTTCATAAAAGGCAGGGGAACTGGCTTAATGTAATTTTCAAGAATTTTACCTAAGTTGTCATCAAGTCCTTGTTCTTGCATAAGGCTTTTAGCCCATTCTACATGACAATGGTACCTAGATAACATAAATACAAATGGAAGATTCTAGGATCCAACATCCTTCATGTGATGTCTTAAAAACAAGACAACACACAGCATAGAAATAAATGTTAATTATTCTGGAATAAGCAAAGATTAATTATGGCATTAAAACATGTTCTTACATTAATTGATCATTTTCTAGTTTCTGAATGAGTCTGCCTTGTTTTTAGACTCTTATGTTATAATGCGCTGATAGTGAACAGAGAAAACAACCTACAATTATCATGGCATTACATTTTTAAGACTGTTATAAGTAACTGCATATTTACTGCTAGGTACACAATTGGCTCCAAAAGAGGATGCTGAGGACAGAGTGAAAAACAGATAGCCCCTTTAACATACATCTCAATAACACAAACTTACTTAAATACAAAGCCTAAAAAAATCAGGTTGAACTAATCCACCTTTTAAGGGCATTGTCGCAGAGCCCTGAGGTGCCCTGCTCCTAGAGAGGGGAAACTGCCGGGGAAAAGAGCCCTAGCAGGGAATAGGAGTCCATCTGTGGGTTGCCAGGGCAACTGAAGGGAGCAAATGACCCACACCTGCCAGCGGTCAGCTGCCTGTAGGAGGCAGGCCCTGGCTCCTATAAAGCCCAGAAGCAGAGGCCTGTGGCAGGTC